GGTGTAAACGGGAACTCTGATGTAAGGTGGGGCTCTGGTGACCAGAAAACCTCTTACATCACAGTTTTTCTTTACACCAGAGTCTGCAACATTCCCCCCTTAGGTTTCGCAGAGTTGACCTTTACATCAGGGTCCGCAGAGTTCCCCTTTACATCAGGGTCCGCAGAGTTCCCCTTTGCATCAGGGTCCGCAGAGTTCCCCTTTGCATCAGGGTCCGCAGAGTTCCCCTTTGCATCAGGGTCCGCAGAGTTCCCCTTTGCATCAGGGTCCGCAGAGTTCCCCTTTGCATCAGGGTCCGCGGAGTTCCCCTTTGCATCAGGGTCCGCGGAGTTCCCCTTTGCATCAGGGTCCGCGGAGTTCCCCTTTGCATCAGGGTCCGCGGAGTTCCCCTTTGCATCAGGGTCCGCGGAGTTCCCCTTTGCATCAGGGTCCCCTTTGCGGAGTTCCGCGGAGTTCCCCTTTGCATCAGGGTCCGCGGAGTTCCCCTTTGCATCAGGGTCCGCGGAGTTCCCCTTTGCATCAGGGTCCGCGGAGTTCCCCTTTGCATCAGGGTCCGCGGAGTTCCCCTTTGCATCAGTTTCCGCGGAGTTCCCTTTTGCATTAGTTTCCGCGGAGTTTACCTTTACATCAGGTCCCTTGTAAGGCAAACCCCGCAGATTCTGATGTACTGTAGAGAGGAACCGTGATGTAAAGGGCAATGTGGGAATTCTAGAAACTCTGATGTAAGGGGGGATTCTAATGTAGTGACAGGAAGAGGGTCCACTACAGAACATGTGAAAGGGTCCCGCTACAGGACCGTAATAAAGGGCCCCTCAATGGGAGTAAAGGATACCGGGCTAGGAGGGAAGGGCCCCTTCATGGTTTTTTGCATTGGGGCCCTGAAGGTTCTAGTTACACCTCTAGCCTAACGCGTTACCCCAGTTTTGAAGGACAGGGGACCTTAACTCTGCTGAGCGCAGGCAGCATTAAGAGCCTTGTTTTGCCTAAGACCTCACAAAGCCTGGAGCCGCCTCTGTCTATCTGGGCATGGTTTATACACCTGTCTGCTGACATTTACATTCACTTTGTTTGAAAAACTTTAGTGTTATTTTTCTAAAACCCCTGGTCCTAGGGTGAATTTATTTTATGATTATAGCATGGGTTTATAGTATCATAACTGGTGATTTACAGTTGCAAGAAAAAGTATGTGAACCCCTTGGGATTACGTGGAGTTTTGCATGAATTGGGCATAAAATGTGCTCTGAACGTCATCTAAGTCACAACAATAGAAGAACACAGTCTGCTGAACATAATACTACACAAACATTAGATGTTGCCATGGTTTAATTGCACATAACATGTAAACATTCACAGTGCAGGGAGGAAAAAGTATTTGAACTTTTGGACCTAATAACGGGTTGACCCTCTTGGCAGCAATAACCTCAACCAAACGTTTCTTGTAGTTGCAGATCAGACCTGCACAACGATCTGGAGTAATTTTGGACCACTCCTCTTCACAAAACTGTTTCAGTGTAGCAATATTCTTGGGATGTCTGGAGTGAATCGCTCTCTTAAGGTCATGCCACAGCATTTCAATCGGGGTGAGGTCAGGACTCTGACTGGGCCACCCCAGAAGGCGTATTCTGTGCTGTTGCAGCCATTGTTTTGTTGAATTACTTGTATGCTTTGGGTCATTGTCCTGTTGCATCACCCCTCCTCTGCGGAGCTTTAGTTGGCGGACAGATGGTCGTACGTTTTCCTGCAAAATGTCTTAATAAACTCTGGAATTCATTTTCCCATCAATGACAACAATCCGTCCAGGCCCTGAGGCAGCAAAGCAGCCCAAACCATGATGCTCCCTCCGCCATGTTTTACAGTGGGGATGAGGTTTTGATGTTGGTGTGCTGTGCCTTTTTTTCTCCACGCATAGTGTTGTGTGTTCTTCCCAAACAACTCAATCTTGGTTTCATCTGCCCACAGTATATTTTGCCGATAGTGCTGTGGAACATCCAGGTGCTCTTTTGCAAACTTCAAACGTGCTGCAATATTCTTTTTGGACAGCAATGGCTTCCTCCGTGGTGTCCTCCCATGTACTCCATTCTTGTTTAATGTTTTCCTTATTGTAGATGTGTCAACAAAAATGTTAGCATGTGCTAGAGATTTCTGTAGGTTTTTAGCTGACACTCTGGGATTCTTCTTTACCTCATGCAGCATTCTGCGCTGTGCTCTTGCAGTCATTTTTACAGGACGACCACGCCTAGGGAGCGTAGCAACAGTGCTAAACTTTCTCCATTTGTAGACAGTCTGTCTTACCGTGGACACATGAACATCAAGGCTTTTGGAGATACTTTTGTAACCCTTTCCAGCTTCATGCAAGTCAACAATTCTTGATCGTAGGTCTTCTGAGAGCTCTTTTCTGCGAGGCATGGTTCACATCAGACAGTGCTTCTTGAAACCAGTAAACCCAAAACAGGTGTGTGTTTTTTAAGGGCAGGACAGCTGTCAGCAACACATCCAATATCATCACACTGATTGGAGTCAAGGTTGGCTCACTCCTGGCTCCAATTAGCTCTGGGAGAAGTCATTAAGCTAGGGACTCACATATTTTTTCCTCCCTGCACTGTAAATGTTGACATGTTATGTGCAATTAAACCATGGCAACATGTAATGTTTGTGTATTATTATGTTCAGCAGACTGTGTTCTTCTATTGTTGTGACTTAGATGACATTCAGCGCACATTTTATGCCCAATTCATGCAAAACTCCACGTAATCCCAAGGGGTTCACATACTTTTTCTTGCAACTGTATAGCTCTTTGATTTTAGATGCCAGTGTGCCATTGTTCTCTTACATCCTCTTCCCCAAAAATTTGGTATTGTTATCATTAAGCTTGATCACCACAGAAAAAAAAAGTGCTTTAAAGTAGGCTTTTTAGTAGGCCAAAATATTGGTAAAATATGCTTTTTTTTTTTTCAAAATAACATTGGTAGTAAGAATCTTCAACATTGAAATTATACACTAACATGACTACCAATGCAATCTAGAATTAGCTCCACCTTACACCCTGAGAGCCCTTGAATCTACGTGCTTCTTCAGCAATCTAACTCGTTCAGTTAACACATATTTCAACCATGTTTCAGAGCAGCAGTGATTGTATTATGTGGTTAAAACAGGGTGTTTTCATAAACTTTTTTATCTCCCATCATATTCTTGGACAGTCAGCTTGTGCTTTGACTCATTTTATAGTGATTGGATGATTAAAGTGATCCAATCATTATTAGGGTGACTGAGTTATCCATGTGTATTGAAATGCCGGGATATGTTCCTGACACTTAGCGCTGAGGAAGATACATGGTTATGCAGCAGAACTTCAACATTACTGAGCAAGCCCAGTTGAATGTGATTAACTACTACTAGGTATATGCCATGACCTAGAAAAAAAGAAAACCTAAACAGACAAACTTGCAAATTCCAAAATCTGCTGTAAAGATACAGTCCCTGCCTTCCCCAAGCAATGCGGTTTCCAGTGAAAGTGACCGTATGTTAAACAATACAAAAGCTCAAAGTTACCATGTGACTAAAATAAAACATCACAATAAAGTGGTTGTTACAGGCAACTTCAGATCCTGCAGAATCTAACATTCCCAGGAGGGCCTTTTTTCTCTTTTTTTTTTTTAATCCCCCCACTATGCGCTGCTTTCTCTTGACATCACTACGGAATACAGTGGTGATATAGGGAACCAGCAGATCAAACCAGTAAGCACAGCGGTGAATCAGCAATCTGTTATGATCTTTATCAGTTTGCATTCACTACTGCAGACATGCTGTGCTAGTTCTTTTTACCGGAGGTATATGCAAACAACTGGTGATACTTATGCATACATAAATTAGCGAAGCGCTAAAAATAACTAAATAAATTCATACTAACAGTGCCATTTATAACTGCATAATAGTGCTCTGTGATAATGACCCATAAACATAAGTGTATCCTTATGGTGAAATCAATACACAAACTTAAAGTGAATATGAAAACAGTGATAACAACTATGTCATGTGTATAAGCAATAATATTCAATCTAAATGATTATTCAATGAATTACCATACAGCTGTGAATCGCAAATATAAAAACCATCCGGGAATAATCAATGTATAAACAAGTCCATGCAAGTGAAAACTGTGTAAAAAGGTGATCTTCACTTCTAGTGCATAAATCTTCAAATGGCAGCAGTGCCTGCTCACCTCCACACACTGACCCACACAGGGCCAAAAGGCTATTAATCTCCTCTATACCAGATCCTCATGAATATGCTGCTCATCCAGGGACCACAGGGTAAATGGAGACTCCTCCCCCAGCGTGTCTATTCCGCTCCACCTCCACTCAGTAGTATATAGGTAAGACACAAAAAGATCCTTCCATAGTGCAACAATTTTTAATGTAGAAATGAATACAAAACAAGGATTGCACTCACATGTATTCCCCTAGTACATCAGCCTGTCACCCCATCCCATGGGTGTACTGCATGAAGCCAGGGGAAACCAATATGGCCACTGCGTCCGGACATGCGTCACCTCATGACCGGAAATGGCATACCGACGCGTTGCGTCACGTGCGTCGTGACTTCATCAACCTTAACCCTGATGAAGTCACGACGCACGTGACGCAACGCTTCAGTACGCCATTTCCAGTCACGAGGTGATGAATGTCCGGACGCAGCGGCCACATTAGTTTCCCCAGGCTTCATGCAGTACACCCATGGGATGGGGTGACAGGCTGATGTACTAGGGGAATACATATGAGTGCAATCCTTGTTTTGTACTCATTTCTACGTTAACCACCTTCCGTCCGCCCTATAGTCCAATGACGGGTGCAAGGTGGTTCTCTCGTTCTGATAGGATGTCATATGACGTCCTACCATTCTCACTGCGCATTCGCGGCTCAGGGAGCGCGCAGCGATCGCCGGTGCGCTGTGTCCCTCGGACACAGCAGATCACGGAAAGAGCCGAAGATGTCAGCTCGGTCATGTGATCAGATGTGTCCAATCACAGCTGATCACATGTAAACACGGAAATGTCGGTTATCGGCATTTCTCTCCTCGAGCTGTCACGCTGACAGAGGAGAGGCAGTAGTCGGCTTTCCGCGCAGGGGACATGTACACTGATCATCAGGGCAATGATGATCAGTGTGCCCTGATGATCAGTGTAGCCCCAGAAGTGCCACGTGCCAGTGCCACATAGTGCATACCAGTGCACATCAATACCACATATCAGTGCCCATCTGAGCTGCCTTTCAATGTCACCCATCAGTGCCACCTATCAATGCCAATCAGTGCTAGGCAGTGCCGCCTATCAGTGCCAGTCAGTGCCATGTATCAGTGCCATGTATCAGTGCTGCCTTTCAGTGCCCATCAGTGATGCCTGTCAATGCCCATCAGTGCAACCTACCAGTGCCTCCTCATCAGTGCCCATCAATGCCACCTATCAGTGTCCATCAGTGCCCATCACTGCAGCCTCATTAGCGTACATCAGTGAAGGAGAAAAATCACTTATTTACAAAATTTTATAACAAAAACTAAGAGAAAACGTTTTGTTTTTCAAAATTTGCAGTGGTTTTTGGTTTGTTTAAGAAAAAAAAAAATCCCAGAGGTGATTAAATACCACCAAAAGAAAGCTCTATCTGTCTCAAAAAATGATAAAAATTTCATATGGGTACAGTGTTGCATGACCGCGCAATTGTCATTCAAAGTGTGACAGCGCTGGAAATTGGCCTGGGCAGGAAGGGGGTATAAGTGCCCTGTAGGCTAGTGGTTAAACATTGTTGCACTATGGAAGGATCTTTTTGTGTCTTACCTATATACTACTGAGTGGAGCGGAATAGACATGCTGGGGGAGGAGTCTCCATTTACCCTGTGGTCCCTGGATGAGCAGCATATTCATGAGGATCTGGTATAGAGGAGATTAATAGCCTTTTGGCCCTGTGTGGGTCAGTGTGTGGAGGTGAGCAGGCACTGCTGCCATTTGAAGATTTATGCACTAGAAGTGAAGATCACCTTTTTACACAGTTTTCACTTGCATGGACTTGTTTATACATTGATTATTCCCGGATGGTTTTTATATTTGTGATTCACAGCTGTATGGTAATTCATTGAATAATCATTTAGATTAAATAGTATTGCTTATACACATGACATAGTTGTTATCACTGTTTTCATATTCACTTTAAGTTTGTGTATTGATTTCACCATAAGGATACACTTGTTTATGGGTCATCTATCACAGAGCACTATTATGCAGTTATAAATGGCACTATTAGTATGAATTTATTTAGTTATTTTTAGCGCTTCACTAATTTATGTATGCATATTTATTACTTATTGGTTTAAGTCGAGTGACAGCAGCTTCAATTATAGGGATCACATCCATATAAAGCGCAGGAGGACACTCCCATTTAACTGGTGATACTTGCTTTAACACTCCATGTAAGCTGGTCATACACGATTCTAGTAAAACAATCAAAGTAAATGAGATGGATTGACATTTTAGAATACACTGAGCAACGGCTGCAATTGATGGACTGCACCTAATGATCGATGGAAAGTTTTCCATGTCCATTCGATAGAAGTAAATTAAACAATTGACTAAAGTCAAACTGGGGAGCCCATACATTGATGGAAATTTAGCCAGTCCCTGCTGGACCCGCCAAATTGTGATCAGTGTATTGCCAGTGTTAGATATATTTTGTTTGTGAAACATTTAGCAGTAGGGAGTCTGCCACAAATTTAGAAAAAAAAATCCTGCTAAAGAAGACATTTTCTTTTCCCTGCCTTTTGAGATCCACATGAAGTTTTAAAATCTTTTTTTTCTTCAGTCCAGCCTCTTCTGTACTATGCTGCTGTAGGTTTTCCCTCATATCTACAGCTATCCAACAATGCTGTCTCATGGCATTCCCATGGACCTACTTTTGAGAACACAGCTGAAGAGTGTGCTGTCAAACAACGTATCATTGATTAGACATTGCAATGATTGGAGTGGCCCTCGATTCTTCAGAAATTTCAGTTGAAACAGTCTTGTCCCTATATCTTTATATTATTCTGAACACATCTCAAGCCAGAGTGTTCCTTTCCCATGAAAAACTTCAGAATCACTCGTCTTAGGTTCCAGTAATACTAAATCTGACTTTTTCTCTTGCTCGGGAACCTGGCATTTGGACCTATGAAAGACATTCCACACTCTACTCTCATCCACAAGGTTGTTTTTCCTTATGAGTATCACCTTTGTGTGGTGAGTTTCTGAACTGTTATCTTATCTCACAAAGGACTGTTTTAGTTTTCATACGGACATGGTGGTGTTGAGGCCAACAGCTTTCTTACCTGAAGTAGTGTCTGCCTTCCACCTTAACCAGGACATTTCCTCCCCATCCCTTTCTCTTTCTACTATTTCCTAGGTGGCTAAGACTGACCATCATTCAGAGTTATGGTCAAAAACTTGTCAGCTTGCGGCTTCACAGCCGGGAGCCCACTGTGCATGCGTGTGTAGCGCTACACTTTCTGAATGATCCTGTAGTCCTCTGGGACCTGTCACATGTCCCGGAAGACTACAGGGAGGGAGGGGGAGGACAACTTCCGATCGCCTAGGAGATTGCAGCGGAAGTGGGAGCGGGTACTTGTCAATATCGGGTACTCTTTCCCTGCTGCCCAAAGATGCCAATCCTTAACAAGGCATGGGGATGAAGCCTTAAAGCAGAACTTCCCTTTTTGGGTGGAGCTCCGCTTTAAAGAAACTGAACTCCGAAAGTTGTGCCTAAAAAAGTGATCTTGCACCCTGTCTCTTGTGTGAAAGTGGCCATCCTGGTAGAGTAACAAAGCTTTGCTTCCTTATGTTAGTGCTTGCCCCTCCACTTTACCTGTAAAGGCTATCTACTAAATCTATAAGCACCTCATTGGCTTTTTGGGATCAGGCAACTGCTTCCCAGACTGGTAAGGCTGCCGCCTGATCTTTTGTTAACACAAACTCTAGGTTCTACAAGGTGAATGTTTCTGCATCATCAGATGACAGCTTTTTTAAGTTCCTTCTGTTTTTGAGCTGCAAGTAGTCCCAAGTTTTTGTTGTTTACAATGGACATTCTGTCCCCTGTGCAGCCCTACCTGGTTCTCCTCCTACTCTGGGTCCCACGAGTGCCCTCCTGCCCCTGCAGCTCTGATACCTTGGGACCAGACGTGGTTACCTGGAGTGCTCTGTGCATCCTAGGTTGCTTAAGGGACACATGGTGTCTTTGTCATTCCTCCCCTCCATTTGACTGGTCACAACAGATGCCAAGCTGGGACGATAATGGTTCAGATATTGGCCCAGGGACTTTGGACAAAGGAGGAATCTCAGTTTACCGATCAATGTCCTGGAGCTACGTTCTCACTAAGGCATCTGTGTACTCATTTGCTCAGAAGGTTTTTTATAGCCAGACAATTTGCATTAAACCTAGAGTACTAAAATTGCAGTTTAGTATTTTAAATTATAAGTTAAATACCTTCATGATAAACTAATACCAATAGACTAAAGACAAATTTCACACAGATTTAAACATTTACATGAAATACGTTTTTCTATAATATTGGTAAGTTTAAAGCCTAACTCCAGCCACTTTTGAGATTGTGTAAGCTTAAACAACGCCAGCTACTTTTTTTGAGACTAGAGAATTACATTTTCTAGTAGTTCTTTATCTCTGAATGTGACCGCAGTAAAGGAGGAGTAGGACCAAAGCATTTTTGGATGATCACACTTCGTTTTGCACTCCTGTGACCAGGCCCACTGTCAGCTGACATCACTCAGCTTGTCCAGGCTCTGGAAAGATCCCGACTTTAAAGTCAGGATCCACCCAGATGACTGGACTGGTAGCTGGCTCACCACTGAGAGCCTGAGCCAGCAACTCCTCATCCTGGCTCTCCAGTGAGCACTGGAGGGGCAGAGCAGAGAGCTGGTGACTGATAGTCACCGGCTTTCTGTTCACTGAAGACTGGGAACCAAGAGATCTGCGATCTTTGATCCCTCAGTTCTCAGTCTCAGAAACAGTGGGTGACAGATGCAGATCATACCAATGCTGCATCCACCTCTTCCTGCTGGAGGTACGCATATATGTGCCCTCACAGAAGGTGAGCTTTAACACTGAGAGTCTGTACGTATGCAGCCCTGTGTAAACCTTTTTCTGTGTTGAGAGCACGTGCCCTGCCAATCACATGGGTCACATGATCCTAATGCCGCCTCCTGACATTTAGAAGCTCTTAAAGGGCCGGGAAGGGGGTTAAATAATTCCATAAATCTTTTAACGAGATTTCCCTCAATTAATGTACCTGTGACACTATACTAGAAATGGTGGGTGTGGTTGTCACCAAGATACCAAAGCAAAATAAATAACTTCTCACAATATGTAAAATGTTCTGTCTGTATCCCATGTTGGGGAGAATGCCATCTGTGTGGCACTTTCTGTCATAGACAGGGATAAAAAAAATACCATCAGAGTATGTAACTTGTCCAACTAGATTGGAGTTGGTCTTTAATAATGTGCTAATAAAGCGTTGCTCATACTTGAGTATTAGGTGTGGTTTTTACTGCTGCAAAGGAGGGGAGAGTACATATGCAAGGGCTGCGATGCTTTGCATTGTGGTGTAGCAAAAATTATCCCTGCTGTGATGTTCAGTGGGCAACACCATCCACTGAGCATGACCCATTCAACTAATGCGGGGTTCAGGTGGTTAAAGTAGGTGGTGAGGAAGCAGATCAACCTTTAGAGAGCATTGGTTATGGGAGTGAAAGTCACCTGACATTTTATTTCTTTTGTTGAACACCCCCATGCTTTCAAGTCAGCTGTTAGTCACACACTAATTAACAGTCATAAACCAATGATGTGCACATCATATTTTGTCTCTTCCAAAGTATGATAGAGAAAAATCCTTGCCTCAGCTTTAACATACTGAGACAGAGAAGCAGCTGCACATAAAGAGAATCTTTGAATTGTCTCTCAAAAATGTCTGTAATACACATGGGTTCCAACATGGGTACAAGTGTTTTGAATTTAAAGGGGCGTCAGAATTTTTTAAAATTAAACAAGGTGCGATAGGAGGATTCTTGCAACTACAGGATAACCGTACTTTCCAGAGAATGGTCCATACAGAAATAATAAAAAAAAAGGTAGAGGTAGGTTAATCTTCACTTATTCATTGCCAAATTTTCTGTTTAGATATAACTTTTAAGTTCTCCACAAATAACAATGTGGCTGGTTTTTTACCCATGTCCAGTCATTGTTCCATTGTGTGAGGAGAAGTAACATTCTGCATTGTTCAGCTGTCAGTAATGGAGTTTTGATGTTTGCTTATATCAAAGAACAGAACATGTTGCCATTAACAAATTAGCAGTTCAGCCCAACAATACCACAGATGTGTAGCCTCACGCATATTTCTTTGTAAATTTGGCAAA